GGTTATAAATAATAATAAAAGAAAATAGTAAATTAAGGCAATGAAAATTTAACCAATTTTAGCAATGAACAAATCATAAAGTCAAGCCAAAATTTGAACAATTCAAAATATTTCTCACAACAAAAAAATTGTGACAAGAACAAGCTCAAACTTTCTACATATATACACTGGACAAAATGTATTATTAATAATAATGAATATAAAACTCATACCATATCTATGTATCAGTGATTGTTCGTATATTAATATTGATAACAATGAATCATTGACTGTAGCTTTAGTCTGTAAATTTAACTTAGCATGTGATACTGACAACGATATACTAAGAAAGACAGAGAGAGAGAGAAATAAATAATAATAATTATTATGAAATACATATTAAATCATTCACACATAAAAAATTCATTAATTTCAATCCAGTAGCCATTCCAATCACAGGGTTAATTTTTTGTAAAATGAAGGCATTATGCTATCATTTTGAAACATTAATCAACACTTACAGTGTATTCAGTGCAGTGAGAGGAGTGTCACTACCTCTGAGTCTCCTACTAGCAACATAATAACTAGTTAATAACTGATGAGCATCTGATTGTATTGTAACATCAATACTGGAACAAAATGAAAGTATCTGTTGAGTGAGAGAGATAAAAGGAGGAGAAACAAAAGTTTTAAAAATAAATTATTATAATTGAATACCTCAATTATTTCATCATTTGTTAAAAGAGGGTGTGGATGAGTTGATAAGCTTCTGTCTCTTGTTACTTTATTAATCAAATGAGTAGACATGATTTGATCAACGTAATCATCAGAAGAATCAACAAGTAATAATAAACCAGAGTGACTAAGAAGACACAGAGTAAGGAAAACTTATAATTACATTTGAGGGTTCAGATGAGAAGGAAAGGACAAAAAGAATTTAACTAATCAATAACTAACTCCATCAAAGATTTACTTGCACATGTACCAGACAGTTCCTATGAAAATAAATAAAGTATAGCTAGTAATTTAAGACGGAGAATTTTCAGTAAATTACTAATCGAAATGGCAGGTTCCAAGTTCCAACTACAATGTACATGTATATGGTGAAAATATACTTTCATGCAGATATTGGGCAAGAGTAATACGTATGGGTATAGGGTATATGTTATTGAAAATGGTTGGGAGTTAATTCTTAATTTTCTATTACACTTCCTAATACATGTACATGCATGTTCTTATCTTATGCATAAAGTTGAGATGATTCCAATCAAAATTAGAATTTTTAGAAACTTTTAAAGTTGCTAATGCAATAATATTTGTAGTAATATAGGGCTATTACTTTAAGAATTGTCTATAGTTCTAGCAAACTACAATGCATTAAGTGTTAATGTAATTGATGCCACGTCTAAATAATTCCTCACATGTAAAGGTTTATGCATGACATGATCAGTGTTGAGATTAGAGTCACACAAGAGCCAGAGTGTACAGTTAAGAGGTACTGTCAATGATGAACTACTGACTGACTTCCTGTTTGAATGTATTGTAATGTAGCCAGACTCAAGAACTATAAATAACAAAATAATAAATAAAATAATTACAAAAACCACAGACATTAATACTGCCAATAAATAAATAAATAACAATAACAATTACACAACAGCACATTAATAACAGCAAGTACACACAAACAAACAAACAACATAGACAAATAAATTATGCACAATAACAAATACCAAGAGTCCATTACAAATACCAGTCATACAATTCTTTCTTTCTCTCTACCTTGCTGCAGTTGTTCCTTCTCATCTTTCTTCATACTATTAATATTGTCAATAAAACAAACGCCACCTTTTGATAATATCAAACTACCAGCTATAAAATAAAAGACAAAAAAGAAAACAAAATCAGTCAGAATTCACTCACAAACACTCAACATTGCACAAGAACAGGGTTTCCCACAAAGCATGCTTCATGAGCTGACAAGCACTACCATCGACAAATACATGTACATGGCTTTTTGAGTAACTCAAAAATTCATAAAAAGTGCAACTTTGGTCGGAATTAACTCAAAATAACTATATTCACATCAGAACATGTAAATTTTGTATATTAAAAAAATCATAAAATAAAAAAGTTTTCTAGTCGTTAAGGTGAAATTTGGCCAAAAACCATGAAAATTGTACAAGAACTTTGGCCCGATTTGCAAAAAATTCAAAATCAGCTCAAAATCTCCATACAGCACACAAACATGTATATTTTGAAAATTATAACAGTACATGTACATGTATGTGTAGTATGTATTTTGTCAAATTTTAGAGCAACTTGAAGTTCAGTGAAACCCTGACTAGGGTATTGATAATAGATAAAAAATTGGTAGCTCCTGAACAGTTTTTGAAAATTTTACAGAGCTTAAAGGCAAACTATGAAGCATCAATTTTTGTTAGTTATTTAAATGCTACATAATTTGAAACTACTTAAAATGCTTATAATAGAAAATTACAGAGGAAATAATATTATTTTACCATCAATCCATTCTAGTCCTTCATCTCTTCTGATTGTACCATTCAAATGTACCCCTCCATTAACAGTATGTATTACTGATCTATTATTAGTAACAGCAGATGATCTATTATTAGTAACAGTAGATGAATATGTTAACAATTGTCTTGCTATGTATTGTGAATCATTGTCAATAATAAGCAATACATCAATCATCCTGTTTCTAAATATAGGAACAAAGGAAAGAGAGAGAGAGAGGGAGGGAGAGAGATAGAGTTGGAGGAATAGGTGGAAGAGAGAGTAGTAAAAGTATAGTATATACATTGTAAAATACAAACCTTGGTTCACTACAAGCTACGAGACTAAGTAATATAATTAACTTTAATCTGTGATAAAGACCAGGGGGTACAACATCAGCTAAAATAAATAAATAGATAAATAAATAATTGTGCTACTTAAATTATTTACATGCAAAATAGTAAGCAAGTATAGCTGGAAATGACCACCTCGAATATTGACAACCTGAGAGAGAGAGGGGGGGGGGAGAGAGGGGAGTATAGTAAACAAACACTACATGAATTGAATGTTAATTAGATTAACTACCATTAAATATCTGTAAAATATTAGGAGACAATTGTTTGTTAGTAGAATCATTTAATGTCTTATAAACATTGTTAGCCTACAAATAAAATAATACATTCTTTACATGTATATGTATACCTCTATTACAGTATCAACAGTAATCCTTCCATTATTAGTACTATTATTATTAATTGCAACACCAATAACTGTATATTCACCACCAATCTCTACCATTGAGCACAAATCATCTAACAATAATAGCTAGTGATAATTAAAATAATAATAATAGCCACTATACCCCTAAGTATAACAGTAAATCCTTGATAGCTTGAGCCACTAACAGGATATAATACATCAGTAGGCACCAGTGATATTAATAACTTATCTGCATATGTACATACAAGAAGAGACAGAAAAAAGGAAGAGAGAGGGAGAAAGTAAAGAGAATGAGAGAGATAACAAATTACATATAAGATAAAGCTCATTTTTACCTGATAATATTCTTTGTTTAACATCTTCAATTAAAATCAGTCCACAATAATGACACTTCAAATTATCACTTATAATTAATAATAATTACTACATACATTGTAATGTTAATTACTTTATAGTGTTATATTCATAAGAGCCAACTGAATGATAGCGTATGTGTGGATCAGATGTACATGAAGAATTAGGACAATAATAACAAGCACTTTCACTATGAATAAGAAAGAGAAATGAGGGAGAAAAATAATGAAGTGAGAGAAAGAATAAGAGAAGTAAATATAATGTAAAAATAATACTTTATGTACATACGTATATTTCTCAATATTAGTGATACTAGTTACAATACCAGTACATGATATAAACTGTCCCTCTCCTTCATCCATAGGAGACTGCAACTCACATACATGGGATACATGATACCTATGTGTATGTACATGTACACGTTAATTGTTTAGTAATGATGGTCACTGACTAACGGTGGAAAGGCAGGAAGAGAGGAGAGTCTAATTAGTAACAGTAGCTGGTTTGGTGATGCTAAAGTGGTAGCTGGTAGCCACTCCATTTCTCGTATTATAATAAAAATAATTCCATGAAACACTCTCCATCCTTTAGAAGGACTGTGAAGCAACAGGTTACCTAGTGACGCTAAGAGGCAGTGACAATAATTATGTTGGAATCACAAGCATATACATACCATTTGATTCTAATAACTGAAAAGTGTCAATTTGAGATGAGTCGGAGTGACGTCATAAATTTTTCACGTGATCTAAAATGGAGTCGGAGATCATTTGTGGAGGAATGAATAAGAACGAGCGACCTGCCGATGCGGCCATACAGGAACTAGCAGAAAAAGTAAACCAGTTTATAATGTCCAACTATTGTTAAATATTCTCAGGTTAGAGTATCCGTAGAGGAAAAGTCTGGTAGAAAATTTACTGAGTACAGGGCCATTGCATACTGCACTCAAGTGGTAGCAGGAATGAATTACTTTATAAAAGTAAGGGACACTGTGGGGTCAGTGGGTCAAATGGAATATACACCGACCTGGGAACTACACCCTCCTGTCT